CAACAACAAAAAAAGAAACCGTCCAGATATCCTGCCTGAACTTTGTTAGAATGAACCTTAAAGGCTCCAAAAGGAAATGCATCTTTGCACATTTTAAGCTAACAAGTATGTCGTCACAAGAGCCATTTTACAGAAAGTGTGTCTTGTGATTTTATTGTAGGGACATGCTTTTAACACGCATGTTAAAATCAGAAATGTCTTCCAGATTATCAGCTTTTCAAATCACTCTGCAGCCCTTTGATCACTTTAAATAACTCTGTTTGGTTCTCTTGAAACAAAACACTTGCCACCCATGCAGAGGTGAAGCTGAAAGCGCAGAGGAGGTTTTTTCTTGTTGTTGCAGTGAGAGTTTTCAGTCAGTAGGTGGAGATGTTTCATTTTTCAAAGTTCTTGCTGCCTTCAGGGAGTGAGAGAACTCACAGACAGTGCACCACGGTGCGTCCCTCGCCACCGTCGTACTCCTCCTGCCACTTGTCCACCTGTCGGATGAGCTTGAGGAAGGAGCGCTTGGACATGGGCGTGTCTCTGTACATGGGCCAGCCCAGGAACTGGAACTGCTGCACCATCCGGTAACCGTCTTGAGGCTGCGAGGGGTACAAGGACAAACCGGTTATCACGTTAACTCACACACATGTTGGAAGGGGGGTGGGGGTACAGGGAGGCTGTAGATCTAAGCCTGATTGAGGCCAGATGAAGATGGATAAAGAGCACAACTGTCACTGAGGAGATGATTGGGAGGTGAGACAGGGTGATGGACGAGCTCAGCTGGAGCTGGAGACAGACGTCTCCACGGATCAATCACATATTCCTGTCACGGATCATATGTGGTGAAACATTCGTGTACTTAACGTGTCCGAGTCAGTGGATGTTACAGTGTGTTGATGAGAGGAGGAGACTGCTGGGATAAAGAGCTTACGCAGATGAGCGCAGGTAACGCCAGCGCGGGATGGGACCTCCTCTGCTCCTGGACGTCTTCTGATGCAACGTTAAAGGGTCAAATGTTAAAAAGCTGCTGTGGCGTCCTCAGAAGGAAGACGCTGTTTTTCTTACAATGTTTTAATATTTCTTTATATTGGTTGTAGCGGCAATCTAGAACTGGGTTAAGTCCAAAAGTTCTCAGTTCGACCTGATTACTTTTCAAAACTTTCATTCAAGTCCATCCAGCGGGTCATGAGATATTTTGCTGACAAACAGAGTTGATTCCAGTCGCTAATGGCAATACGTTAACCAAAGCTCGGTTAGAGCTCAGACTATAAGTTGGGGATCAGTGTCAGCTACTACCGCTCTATCACACTGCCATGTGCTGCGGCGGCCATCTTGTATTGTCTTGACTCCAGAAGTTGTAGATGTCAATCCAATGATCACTTTCACACGCATACACACAAACGAGCTAAAACATCATCACTTCACGCAGATATTTAAAGCATTAAGCTCAATTTAAGCGAGAAGGGGTTCTCTGGAGACCAAAAACTGGGCGTTTCTGGAGAATAGGTGTTTGTGGGGGGCAAACACTGATTGGCAGCTGTATTTGCTGGCTCTTCAGGTAAGTTACGTCAGCTCTTTTTTAAAAAAATGAAGGTTTTTAAGAAACAGCGTTATATCTACTGTCAAACACAATAATATTCTCTTTTGTTCTTGGGTTGTAGGCTGCACCTGACACAAACTGGTTTGAGTGTGGTCTGGGTACAATGAAATATGAAGCATCTGAAACGAAACCTGCTCCTATTTGTCAAAAAGTCTGGTCTCAATTAAAGATCATGAGTCCTGTAACAAGATAACGGCCCAAAACAAACGCTAAAAACAAAATTTTCTCTTTCGAAGTTCCTCTATGAGATCTGATCTATGAAAGGAGCTAAAACACGGAGTAGGATTGACCCTTAAAATGTGAGACTGCTGAGGAAGTGAACCAGTAAACAGAAATATCTGCTCCAGTTGCAGAAATCTGACAGAAACTGACAATCACTCATGTGCAGTGACTGATTTAAAAGGTTGAACAAGAAAATCTGTAGTTAAAGGAAACATCCTTTGTCCCAAGGCCAGTTTAAGTATCATTAATATTTTGGTTACTTTATTTTTTTTCTTTACGAAACAATTGTAATTATTTTCACATTATTCAACAACCAAAACGGATTTTGTTTTTTAATGTAATGGCTAGGTATTAAAAAAAAAAAAATTTAGCCCTCCCCACTACCCATTTATGTTGCTCTTATTTGGAAATGTAACCGGAAGTTCTGTGTTAAGAGAGACGGAAAGTTAAGGTTGCTATGTCGAACCGGCTAACACCATAGACATGTCTGTGGTTAACGCAAAAGGCTTGTATTTTATCGTCCAGCCTTTTTTTTGGTCCAATCAGGTGTGGCCCTCCGGATACACCCATTTTTCTATTGTCCAATCAAATGTGGTCTCCAGACACGCCCATTTTTCTATCGTCCAATCAAATGTGCCCCCTGGACACGCCCATTGTTTTATCGTCCAGTCAGATGTGGCCCTCCAGATACCCCTTTGGTACTTGTCTGCAGAGATACCTACTTGATTTAAACTAGTATCGCAATAATTATAGTAACTTTCGTTCATTTTTTTTCTTTTAGCTTTTTGGTGAATTTGTTTAATTTGGTGCTTTAAAAAGCATTATAAAGTTATATCAACTGCTCACCCATCACTTGCACACAATCCTTGCTCTTTGATGAATATCCATGAGCCAACATTTAGCTAAAAATGTTACCTGATGCATATTTTTGTACTTTAAATTAGGGCTGGACAATAATTTGATATCGATATATATCACGATATACTTTTATTCAATAACGGCGATATGAGTTTTAAGCACATTTTCAATATTTCGATTTGATTACAGCATTTCACTGACGCATTTCTTTTTCTGTTCGGGTTGAAGCTGCCGCTTCAGTTTCAAGCAAAACAGAAAAAGCCGCGGCACAACCACGTAAGTGCGTGGTGATGTACACCACAGCTTGAAGGGGTTAGCGGTAGCAGGCTAGGCTAAAGCTTCAACGCGTGGTAAGTTTTCATTTCAAAATGAGTGCCCATGACCGTCAGAATGTGACTGAACAAGCTTTCACAAGCGAACAGAAAGCAGATGATATAAGTGATAAGAGAGGAAAGACTAATTTGGCGGCGTGGACGTGGTTCGGAACTACAGGTTTCAGTCGGTGTGCTGCAAAATGTGACGGAGAGTTGTTCCAACAGCGATGGGAACACATCTAACTTGTCCACTGGATAGAATATGCTGAGAGTCAGAAGATGAAGCACAATAAAAGTTTGAGCCATTGTGTCCCTGAAACACCACCCCCAGCTGTATCAAAAGAGAAACACATGCTGCATGGGTTACGTTACGCTGTTTAAAGTTAAAACTATTAATATTGACAAAGTTGAGAGTTTTATGCTTATTTGACGGTGATTTCAAATTTTTTTGAAGGCTAAATACAAATAAAAGGTGAACATAAATTTATTTGTACAGTTTTTCTGAGGATTTTATATTGTTTATATCGATATCGGAATTATATCGTTATCGACCGAAATTAAGAAATATATCGTGATAAAAGTTTTGGCTGTATCGTCCAGCCGTACCTTAAATATGTGTCTTCTTTTGGTAGACTCCAAAAGACCCAGACCCTGTGCTTTAAAAACCATTCTGTGTTCGGCAGATACCACATGAAAATGTGTGTTTCCTTTAAATTTGGTGGGAAAGAACAACTTTTAAAGGTCCACTTAAATTGCAGTGAAACTCTGATTTCTGCCTTTTCAACTACAGGTGAAAATTTGATCAAGCTGTCTGAAAGATTTGGGGCCAATCACATCTCGGTCCAATCACTGGTGCAGTTGTGTCGTTAAAGAAAGCAAAAAAAAAAGAGTGCACAGCTTGAGTGGACAGGCGGAAACGTGTGCGGGATGTGTGAGGTGTCGCTGCAGAAACTGTTGTGAACCCAACGAGGAGGACGAGCTGCACAAAAAGCTGTAGCGACGGGTCATCGTGGTTTTAACGCTCTCTGTGTCGACGTACCCGAGCGGCGTTGTAGATCCGAAATATTCTGCTGATGATGTCCTCCTCCAGGTCGGCAGAGACAAACTCCACCTGGATGGGCCCGTGGCGGTGGACTCCGTTTTCTGGCCAGTACTGCGGACACAGCTGAAGAAAACACACATTCACACACATGAAGATGGAGATACACAAACACACACACTAGATTCAAAGCGCTGAGTTTAGACCCTTACTTGAGCTTAAACGGTTTATAACATATAAAAAATAAACCTAAAATAATTGAAGCGAGTTTAAAGTTAAAAGCGTTTCACAGGGGAGCAATCAATAAAAAAAGATTGGTTTATTGAAAAAAACTACAATCTTTTACAAGTCATGACTATTTAAACATTCTTTGTTCTGTTTTTACCCATTTTTCAAAGCACTGGCAAGCGTAAAAAAAATTATTTTCAGTTTTTGTAATTACGATGAACTCAAGTGACCTTATTAAATAATCTTAAGCTTAGTGAAGGACACATTAGTAATAATAATATTACTAATAATCACCGAATAATCATCCTGTATTTCTCAAATTAGACAAATGTTTGGTAACTCTTTAAGACAGATTGTTATAAATAGAAGGCATGCACTTATTTATGTGTAAAAACAGATGTTGTTGAGTATAGTTGCAGCGAGTCAACAATCTTGTGCTGCATTCACTGAACCTCGAGGTTAGTAAGTTCAAAAGTTTTTTTTTCCCCTTTTGTTATAACTTTGTTATGAAACCAAGTGTAAACTAGAGAAATTGCATTTCCTGTGGAAATGCAGTGTGAATGCTTATTGCAGAAGTACTTGCTGAAAAACAGCTTAAATTAGCTAAAAACATGCTGAATTGTAGCTGAAATGAAAGAACAAGCCTAAGCTAGCAGTAGAAAGCAGAAAAAAACACATATTTGCTGAGAATTATGTTTAAATAAGCAGACGTGAGCACAAAAATGAGGAAATTAGCTAAAAAAGCTGAACTTAGCAAAAAATAGCTGAAAAGGCAGAAAGAAGCGTAAACTACCAGAAGGAAGTGGAAAGAGCTGAGATGAGCTTTAAATATGTGGAATTAGCAGAAAAAGCAGCTGAAATAGCAGAAGTAGTTGAAGTTTGCAGAAATAAGCTGAAAGTAGCATAACAAGCTGAAATTAGCAGAAAGAAGTTAGAAGAAGCACAAAAATGTTGTAGTTAGCAGAATCAGAAAGGAGCACAAAACGGCAAAAAAAAACCCAGCTGAAATTAGCTGAAATTTTTTTAAAAATTTGCACATGGAAGCTGAAAGAAGCTGAACCAGAACAAAATGTGAAAGGAGCAGTAAAAGTTGTTAACAGATCTGAAGGATGTAAAATGAGCTCAGTTCATTTTCTATGAGAAAAAAAAAAAAAAGGCAGAAAATGCTAAATATTTTAAAAAGCTGAAGTTGCACCAATACCAAAAGTCATAGCACCTTTCTCCTGAAAGAGCTGAATGTTTTGATACAGTATGAATTGTTTAAATAGCTTCAAAACTGCGGGACAAGAAACGTGCCGAAAAATGTACAGAAGAAAAATGGATCACAACTGTGTGAATGCTTCATAAACATTCACACAGTTATTATCACAACTTCGCAAGTCTCTTCTAACTTTCTAACGTCAAAGTAAAATGAACCAATAATGCTCTGGCAGCTCTTATTTGCATATTTTACATCCTGACCAGAAACTTATTATTGCCGTTCTTCATTATCTTCCTGCAGATGAGAATAAAATTTCAGTTTCTTTTTGTTACTGACTGCACCATTAACAGAACAACAAAAATGAACTGGTATCGTTTTTGAAAGCAGATGTTCACATCATTAGCCTCTAAAAAAAGTAAAAAAATAAAACAAATGCACCCAAAGTGAAGCTTAGGACTTATAAAATTAACATGCGAGCTTTATTGGCAAGCTGTTACCTTTCCCAGTGTTTGTATCTGCATTTTATTTATACAACCTGCCCAGTTTAACACGACTCACTGAACTGAAAAAGAGAGGGAGGTTTCATGAAGACATTTCATTTCTTTTCCAACCAGAGAAGGCTTTTATGCTGAAGGTAAAACGTCTTCATTTGCACCCAAAGAAAGACCAGTCGTCTTAATTTCATGCACTCCAGACTCTCATTTGTGACTTTCCTGATTAGAAAACACTAATTGGGACATTTAGAAATCAAGATATATATATAAAAAAAATCTCAACAGTTCACTTTAACTTGGAAGGATTTTCAAAAAAATCAACTTTGCAACTGATTTTATGGAAGCAGGAAATACATAACAGGGCTGAGTATTCCTTTAACGAGATGCTGTTCTTTACGTGCACTTTCCTCTTATTCTGTTTCGTTGCTTTTAGGTTGCGCTTTACAAAATCTAAACTGAAAAGTTCAGCTTCTCTCCATTGGCTCCCTGTCAAATTCAGAACAGAACAGAGCTGTCATTTCTAACCACGGACCGGGCCGGGCCGGGCCGGCCATAATAATGTGCTGGATGGGCAGATGGGTCAGTGTCAGGCTTTTGATTGTGTTTGCGGATGCGCGCGGCTGACGATCCAAATGGCAACATGGATTGCCATACAATCCAGTTATATGGCAACATGGCTTGCCATAAAATTCAATTATATGGCAACATGGCTTGCCATATATTACCAGCCACACATGGCCATTTGACCGTGCGCTGACCGGCCTTGAAAGAGGTAAAAAAAATAGTACAGTTAAGCTTCAGATAGGACTACTGCCAGGCAGCGATCCATCAAAGTCCAAATGGACGTTCATTCAGCCGCTGCACTCAGCAGACACGCGCGGCCGACGACCCAAACAGGTAAGATCCCAAAATATTCTCGCAAACATGTCAGAGCAGGGTCCATGTCTGAATAATGCAGCATGCAGGCAGAAAGAGTGATTTAATTTGCTTTGACGGCCATGAAAGGACAAACACCCTCTCAGCTCTGATCTTCTGCCTCTTTTTACTCAGCCGTGCGCGTCCGCCGACAATTAATAACTATATAAGCAGTCAAAGCTTAATTTAAAATGTCGGGGTTTTTTCAGGTTCGGACCTGTAATTACTGTTAATTCGTTGGGTCGGGTTGGAAATGATGGCTACGGGCTGGGGCCAGGTCGGGTTAGATTTTTTCGACCCGAATGCAACTCTAGAATATAATTCAAAATCTTACTTCTAATTTACAAAACTCTCAAAAACCTAGTTCCATCGTATATTACAGATTTTATTGTTCCATATTTTCCTAACAGAGCACTTCGCTCTCAGACTGCAGGCTTACTTGTGGTTCCTAGAGTTTCCAAAAGCAGAATGCGAGGCAGCTCTTTCAGTGATCAGGCTCCTCTCTTGTGGAACCAGCTTCCAGTTTCTGTCCATGAGGCTGACACATTGTTCAGTTTTGACTGGGTTTAAGTCTTTCCTTTTTGATGAATCCTATAGTTAGGAATGGCTTGTGTTTCCTGAGCTATCCCTTAGTTACACTGCTATAGGCTTAGACAGCTGAGGGACAAATTAACCACATATCCTCACTCTGCTGCTGTTTTTACTTGTGTACTCTGCCCGTTTGCATTTGTAAATGTAACGTTTTTTGTCTTTCCTCCTATAGAAAGTACATCTGGATCCGTCATTCTATGTTTGTCTGTTCCTCCTTCCTGTTCCTCTCTAACCCAGCCGGACAAAGCAGATGGCCACTCGTTCTGAGCCTGGTTCTGATGGAGGTTCCTTCCTGTTAAAAGTGAGTTTTTCCTTTCCACTGTTGCCTTTGTACTTGCTCAGGATGGGAGACTGTGACGAAATGAAGATTCAACGTGTCTGCTGGCTTCTTTAGATAGATGATTTTTACCATTTGGCTTTTTATGTATGTGAATGTTTTTGAACAGTGCCCTGAGATGATTTCTGTGGTGACTTGGCGGTAAATGAACTGAACTGAATAGTTTATTTTATTTTATTTTCCTTATTGTCCTCTATGAAGACTTTGGGGCAGATAAAAAAAAGACTGATTTTTAGTGAGAAACTGTTGGACAAGAAATGTTTAAAAACTATCCAATAAAAAAGTAAATACATAACACAAGAATTGATTTTAATCAGCGTCTCATCCTTGCTCTCAGTTTTGTTGTTTCTCATTCAAGCTTCCTGAACAGAACAGAGCTTTACACACAGAACCGTCGATGGTGCACCTTCCTACATGGGAAAACTGTGAACTTGTTTCCTTGTACTTTAAAATGTACTTTATGAGAAACAATGAGTTATTAAATCTGTTTTCTCCCCTTGTTTATGGCTTCATCCTGCAACTGGTTGCATTATGTTGTTGAGCTGCTCACTGAAATTTAACTTGAGCCAAGAAGAAGCTTGAACTCTGCAAAGTAGTAACATAAATTGAGCTTTGATCTGCCTTTAAACGAAACCAGCTTTGAAAAAAACAAAGTATATATATACTGGTATAAAAAAGTAAATATAAAGTCAAGGCTTTCATATCATCTTGCAAATGATAACATTTTTGGGTACCACTTTACAATAAGGCTCCCCTTTATGGTTAATAAATAGTTTATAGATAAGTTTTTAATTCCTTTATAAACACTTTATAGATTGTTAATAACTGCTTATTATGCATTAATTAAGGGTGACAGAGAGACAAAACTATGTTGTACTTTATCACTGCATTATAAGTATCTACAACTAATATTATATCCTAAAAAATTAGGTTTACATATCTTATTGTGCTTACAAGGTAGTAACTTAGTTTTAAATGTTTAATATAACAACTCTAGATGAAATATATAGGTGAACAGATTTGTCTCACTATTTGGCAAAAAACGGGTCAGTTTTGTCTCTGTTACCCGTAATTAATGCATAATAAACAGTTATTAATGATTTATAAAGTGTTTATAGAGGAATTAATAGTGCATCTATAAACTATTTATTAGCCATCTATAACGGGAACCTTATTGTAGAGTGGTACCATTTTTGCCGTTTTGGTCCAATCTTAAATGTAACATTGTGCACCATCACAGGTGGTTTGAGCTCAGAGTTCCCGTTTATAAAGACGCTGAGCTTCTACAACACCAAGTTTAAGCTCAACATCTGTAAAGCTGATTAAAATAGAGCAATTTTTTGTGTTTTTTTTTTTAAAAGGTCAGTTAGCTGTAGCAGCCATCCTAAATGTGGTTGACTCCAATCAGTTGTAGATGAATGTCCTATGATTATTTTTAAAAATACCTACAATGTGTGTGAGTCAATCAGCCAATTACGTAAATAAAATGCTGCGTGTGGAGCGAGCGAGTGAATAAACATTGACTAAACAGACTATTTAGCCACAAACAGATACTCCAGAACCCCAAAAGATGGATCATTTGATAAATCTGGACCTGTGACAATACAGCTTATTGAAAAATAATTTTTCTGTGTTCATTTTTTTTTTGCGTTTGCAATAATAGATGGACAAAAAGGGAATTAAACAAGTTGTTGTCTTGGATTCTGTACAAGCAGTCAAAAATGAAAAAATAGAAATAACTGGAACAAGAGAACAAACTAGTATACAGCAATCTATAGCTATGGTCCAGACAAAGGCCTTGTATAATATTTGACCTTAATTTATGACCTAGACCTTAGAGCTGGGGTAATGAAAAGATTATGCGACACTCTGTCTGGTGGTGGTAAAAATGTGTTTCATGAGAGGATCAGAAGTTATGGTCTGGACAAGCAAATACTTTGTTTTGACTTTGACCTTGATTTGTGACCTTGAACTTGGAGCTGAGGTGATGAAAAGTGTATGTGATGCTCTAGTGATCATGTACACGCCTGTGAAGTTTCATTAAATTATCTTGAGCAGATCAGAAGTTATGATTCAGAAAATAAAATTTTACAGACATACATACAGGGGGATATTATAATACCATACTATATTTTTCAGCCTACAAGTCACGTTTTTTTATTTGCATAATTTGCATGCCCTTCAACTTATATGCCGAAGCTATGGATTTATGGATTTTTTCCTATATTGATAAACCAATTTTTGGCTGAGATATGACCGTTTTCATTCATTCTGACTGAAAATGTTGAACACTACCATTTTCAGCAACTAGATGGCAGTCGAGCAGTATGGCATGCCATTGTGTCATATAATGGGTAAAAGTGGCTATTAATGACACAATCGGCTTGCCATACATTGCCACATTCATCCAGCTTGCTTGGAGTTATTGTCAAATCAGCTTCATTTTGTCGCGCCGCCACAGCAAAATGAAGCTAATTTGACCATTAAAGTGCATTTATTAAGGAAAAGTTAGACACACCTTTGCTATAATGCCGAGCAAACAAATAATTGTTTTTAAGTATTAATCTTGTTAAAGTTCTTCTGTGCACGCTTCCGCGGCTGCCATTTGACAGCCGATCAATTTTTGGCACAACACCAGCCCACATTTCCATGTTGTCAGTGTTGACATGTAACAAACACGACGCATCAGCGGTGACGTAAAATAGATGCGTCTTGTACAGTGAAGCAACATATTTATGTTTTTTCCCACTTTATTAGACATATTTGGACTGATGCAACTTAAAGGGCTGTCAATGTGTATGGCGGAAAATACGGTATTTTAGATTTATCAGCATTTAAAACCAATTTTAGTTGCTCAAGATGAATCTGCACCGCATCAAAAGCAGCCTCTAAAAAATTATTATTAATTTTTTTTTTTTCATTTACCCTTTATTTATACAGCTAGTCTCATTGAGCCACAAGAACTCATTTTCAAGAGAGACCTGTTTAGGGAGCAGATGCATTTTTGATGTTGTTGGTACCGGGGCTTGAACCGGCGATCTTCCGATCACAGGCCCCCCTTCTTTAGCCTCTGCGCCACCACTCCACCTCAATGCCTGAGCAATTGAATTTGAACAACAGTAAATTACACAATCATCAGCATAAACGTGGTAGGAGGCATTTAGCTAATTTTCACACAGTGCAGTAATGTAAATTGTAAATAAGATGGGCTCCAAGACAGAGCCCTGGGGTACACTATTTTTTACCTTAAGAAAATTCATCCATCCACTCATTCATCCGCTTATTTTTATTTTCTATTTTTGGCACAACACCGGCCCACATTTCCGGGATGTCAGCGTGTAACAAACACGTCGCTTCAGCGGTGACGCATAATAGATACGACTTATTCGGCAAAGCGCCATATTTATGGATTTTTCCACTTTATTAGACATATTTGGACTGATGCGACTTGTAGGGCGGTGCAACATGTACAGCGGAAAATACGGTAATACCAAAATAAAAGTAAAAACAAACAAAAAAAGGCTCATTAAAAGTGTTTTTGGCTATTCTAAAATCAAAGCCACAAACTAAGGACTATAAAACAGACAAATCTCTAATTTCTACATTGCAGGTGAGGAAGTTCAGTTCAAAACATGCACCTGTGGAGCCTCTTGCTCAGTTGGCTCTTAGCACACAACACAGGAATAATAAAAAAAGACACAAAAAACGACCTCAGTAGAATTTAAATGAACACGGCAAGAAACCTGAGCACAGATATACTAACATGCACTCGCTTTATTCCTCTAATGCACGAAAGCTCAAACATGTCCTGAATTTGCATGGCAGTTTAAGCACCACTTTTGGAGCTTCCTTTGAGAACCTGTCAAAACCTGACAAATTTAGCAGATGCAAAAACAAAGAGGTGGATAGAGGAGATAGCAGAACTCCATCTCCCTCTCCTCCAACTACACCCACCTGTGCTGCTTTCTTGGCTGCCTGACGGGCCGGCTACAATGAGAATAATGAATGAAAGGCCCTTTCTATCCAGCCAGCCAGTCAGTCAGTCAGTCAGTCAGTCAGCCTCTGAGGGAAAGGGGATTTGGGTGTGGGGGGAGCAGCCTGGCTTCAGGCTTTGATCCCCGGGTGTTATGACAGAGCCTCGGGCTGAGAAATCTGGAAAGCCTTATCCAGAGGCCTCTTTCCACTTTCATGGCATCCTCTCTGCAGCATCTCCAACATTTCAAACATACTCTGCGTACGTACACATATACAGTGCTTCTAACAACAACAAAAAAAATACATTTGTGATTTTTCCCCCAGAGTTTACACATAGTTGTGATGCACAGCCTACTTTTTGTGCAGGTCTACTCAACTTTATGCTATGTTCCCTGAAGAATCCTAGTGTGTGAGTGTTTGAGCTCATGTATCAGGCCTGGATTACCTGAGCCGGGTCCACATCATTAAGCATCACTATGGATGTGCAGTGGTAGTCCAGCACCAATCTCCAAAAGTCCTTCACTGTGTTTGGCAGTGGGTGTTGGGTCACTATGAATGCAGAGGGTTGCTTGTAACTCTGGAGGAGGAAGAGCAGAAAAAAACACGATGCTGAACTGTTTCTAATAGAGTTTGCGTCCTCTGGCCTGCGTCTGATGGAAAACTCTTCTTTATGGAGGCTACACTGGTGCAAAAGACTTTAAAGGAGGTCTTTGGCTTTTTGGGGTTAAGACAATCTTGAACCTGAAATGTTTTTTTTCCCCTTAGTTTCTTAAATAAATAAGAATAT